TATAGTTTAGCTTTTCTTTTAACTTTACTAAAGCTTGCAGCAGAAAACTAGGCACAATTGTGTGCGTTCCTATTTCCCAGACCTGCTGTCAATCAGAAAAATAAGTCAGAGTTGTCGTCAAGTCAACCAATGCATACCAAAACTTGGTCTGGGCGTCTAAGCTTTAAAAAAACAAAAAAATTTACACACACACACACACACACACACACAAAGGGTTATTTTAATTAAAATAGCAGATTTAAAAATATCACAAATGACTTTAAATTACATTAACATGCAAAACCTTATATGAGATGATTTCAACAATTGGGTTTACGTCAGCTCTAAAAAGGTCAACAAATCCGTCACCCCTCTAGCTGGCTTGATCACTCCAATTCACCCATTTACACAACCAATGTCCTCTGGGACTGAAGGCTCCACACGGATGGCCTTGCCAAGGATTAATTTCATTCAGTGGGCCGCATAACCACCGTGCATTTCAATCAGGCCTTCTACCTCGCCATCGAGCAGACCCAAATGAGAGGAATCATCTACTTCTTATGCATCGGGCGACACAGCCAAGAACATGCCAGATGGAATTTATCAGCTAATGACACGGATGTAATTCATGTCAGAGAGTCCCGATGTCAATAACGACTCAAGGACGCTGTACCGGTTACTTAAAATGCGGTCTGAGCTGCACCGTTTCCAAATCAGATTGAATCGGATAGAATATTTAATGTTTCAAAAGGGCATCTACACCTCATGGCAAAAGAATAATAGGTCTAAAAACAAAAATTATTTTTCTTCAGTTCAAAACCCACCAGCATACCCTTTGCAGGAAGCTATGATGTCATACCAAGGTTTGTATTGGCCGAAGACTGTCCGTGGTAGGGACAGCAGACTGGGAGCTTCTTTAGCCACCATTCGTTGAGCAATTTGAAGAGCGTTTCCAAAAGCGTTTCCAAAAGCTATTGTAGCAATTGCTCAATGATCAGGAATCAAGATAGAACAGGAGCATCTTTGGGCCATGGTCATCTATTTTTGGCCCCGATAGATTTCAATAGGAAAGCCTGAAAACGCGAACGATTTTTATAGCCGACAACCATCTCCTCCTCCTAGTAACTAGCTTTCTATTGACTAAAACAAAAACATTCAAGCCTGAAAACGCATGTACAAACATGCCAAAAAAAACAGTCAAAGGTGCCAATGCTCAAGTGTGAATGGGGGCTTAGGGACTTTTCAAAGTATATCTGAGGGCCACATCATATACACGATTTTGTTGCTGGCAGCAATTCACAAGTGATAGGATCTTTCGTGGGGCAGATACATACCCACCTGTTTCCATACATTGTTCCTTTTGCTGCTTGAATGGGCAAGGCTTTACTCCCTAACTGGTGAAGGAGATTTTGTAGCGTTTTCCTCAGCAAACAAGCAATGCTTTGCTAAAGAGGACAATGAGGGAGACGCATGTTGAAACACATAAGTATTTCTTTTCATATTTCAGTGGTACTGTCACTGATAAATTCCCCCCCAGGAGGAGTAAGGAAGGGTGGGGGCACCCCCCCCAGGAGGAGTAAGGAAGGGTGGGGGCACCCCCCCAGGAGTAAGGAAGGGTGGGGGCACCCCCCCAGGAGGAGTAAGGAAGGGTGGGGGCACCCCCCCAGGAGGAGTAAGGAAGGGTGGGGGCACCCCCCCAGGAGGAGTAAGGAAGGGTGGGGGCACCCCCCCAGGAGGAGTAAGGAAGGGTGGGGGCACCCCCCCAGGAGGAGTAAGGAAGGGTGGGGGCACCCCCCCAGGAGGAAGGAAGGGTGGGCAGACCCCCAGGAGGAGTAAGGAAGCATTAGAAACCATTGGAGGATTTTATGGTTGTCCGTGTACCAACTGAGGAGATTCACCCTCTCCATTTGTCCTGGTGACTTGTCATAATTTTAGAGCTGTCACAAGAAAAGGAGGCAAGAAAATCTCCCCCAATGGGGACACCCACCTGTTCCCCTCACTTTGGAGAGATTTAAAAAAACTCACTTCCCTTTGGGACAGGAAGTAAAAGGGAAATCTCCCCAACAAAACAAGGACAGGAGTCCTAACCCTTTCCTACTCTATCCAACAAAAAATGTTTGGACGTATTTTAGGTTCGTCAGCGCTATATGAAATATCTAAAAAATATTTATACACGCATACACAAATATATACATACACACTCCCCTACAGTCACTTTCTGGGCACATAAAACCAGCAAGATCTTGAAAACAGCTTCAATTGCACATTACAGCAACTTCCTGTCATCTCAGATAATGCGATTTCATCTTAACAAGTCAGCGTCTGTTGCAGGCCTACATAGAGACGTGAACGGCGCAGGAAGAAATGGTGATCAAAAGGAGACGGCTGGCAGCCAGCAGGGCTTTGTGGGCCAATAACTAAGACACCAATGATAGCAGCCATCTTGCTTGGTCTATCCTATGTATTTTTATCAGTTCTGTTATAACATGGAAACTATGGAAAAGGCTAGCAAGCCTGGTGGGCTTACAACCAAGCTGAGGAGAGACGCCATTTTATTTGGTGTATTCCATGTATCCTTGTACAGGAGCCTCATACATCTCATACATATATATCTCATACAGGAGCCTTTAGCTGTACTTTGGGTGTGCACCAACCGCTGAATCACAAATTAGAAATATTGTTTTTCCATTGTGTAAGGGACACATCTGGTAAAGAGAGGCCTGACATCATGTCTGAAGCCTGTGCAGCCTCCAGAGTGTACGGAGAAACTTGGTCAGAAACCTGAATGAATCCTGGCCGAAGGCCACGGCAGCTAAATCTGCTTTAAAGGAAACCTTTCCAAGGGGAATATGGAGGCTGCCATAGCCATTTTTGGATTTCACAAGTCCTGGTAGCCGGTCAGCGCGACCCTGAGGCTTCCATACCAAGGACAAGACTTCTGAATGAATTTCCTGATCTGCATACCTGTC